CTTCCTTCCTTCCTTCCTTCCTTCCTTCCTTCCTTCCTTCCTTCCTTTTCCACCCTCCAAATCTGCTCTGGAGTGGCCAAAATCAGGCTGGAGAAATGTTTCTGCCAAAGTATGCAATCTGATAAATGGATATAATTTAAAAAGTCCTTAAAAAGAATTCTATACCAAATTAAATAAAATATAGAACAAGGTAAATGCCTTCCTTTATTATAAATCAGTTTACTGAAATGCAACTAGTTCCACCATTAATTGAAGGGGACATAATTTAACACATTAAAAATGTTTCAAGATTTATTTCTAACTGACCTTCATACTGCTTACCTTCTAAAAGTATGTTTACCAAGTATGTTTATTGCAATATTAAATTACAGGTCAGATTTCCCTCTATGTATAACAAATTTTCATATGTCCTTCCCAACATCCCTGTTTTGCTAACATTTCTATTATAATAGGATTATATTATATATAATTAATACTTGTTTATTTGAAGTGCTGAGTATTTTATCTTGGTTTCTGAGCAGGCTTAGAACAGTACTGGATTTGAAAACCCATCCAGTCATCCAGCTCCATGATCAGTAATATAATGTTAAAGTTAAAATAAGGCTACTATGGAAAAAGTAAACAGTAGATAGAACTTAGCTTTTTTGGAAACTGAGTTTTGGCTCTCTGTTGATTAAGACGCTGAATTTACAGAGTCAAGGGAGATCTGATAATAATTTTACTGTCCCAATCAGCAAGTTGAACCTTGAGCAGGTTTCATAGTGTTAATGGAAATTGTCTTAAAATGTAAATCAGTATAGCATTTTTTTTTCCTGAAATAGAAAAAGACTGACTTTTTACCACCCAATGTTTTTCTCAGACCACTTCCTGGGTATTATTTACCTCATGTGGATTGCAAGTAATGAAATTTAAGATCAGGCCTAATTTTGTCCTGAATTCATTGCTCTTTTTTACTTTTCTGGGCTGCATTTTTTGATTTGGAGCTGCTGGGTATTTAGAGAGCATGGTGTCTGTGTGTGTGTGTGTGTGTGTATTTCTGTGGATCAATCCAACAAACCTCTAAAGACACATTTTCCCTTTTCAGGATACAAAAGTGAACACAACTGTCGTACCTCTGGCAAACGTAACTGCTACTGATGCTGATCTTAATACAGTGTTCTACAGCCTTGAAGGAAGTCCAACAGTTAGTATATAGTTCAACTGCACTCTTGAGATGTAGAATCTAAATCCAACTAGATCAAAGGCTAAACTTCTTCGTGACAAGTAGTCTTCCAAAACTGGACATACATTGTTTTTCTCTTCTCTGAAGATTGCCTCTTTTTCTGCTTAGACTGGAGAAGTGAGGGATCAGTACTGAAAAACTGTCTCATGTCAAACGGTTTAATAATTCCATTATCAGATAGAACAGTAGCACACGTTCACCTGCGTATTTCTTTAGTCCATGAAGTGGAAGTAAAAAGAAGCATTTCTCAACTGAAAACAGGCTTACTCTATAGAAAGGTCATGTTAGATAAATCATGGAATGTGTCAATAAGAGCATCCAGCCATGAAATAAGGTTTTGGGTTTTTTGGAAATAGAGTAGATTATTTTCCTCTGATAAATTACGAAAAGTCCAACTGTAAAATGAATTTACATTGGACAGTGTTACTCCCTCCAATGTATTCCCTGCTCTGTATTGTTTTGCTAATCAATGTAATTAATATCTCTCAGCAGAAGAAATGCCATAAATATATTTTAAAAATCCATCAATATATGGACAATTATATTTATTCTGTAGAAGGGAAATAAAACAGTATAGAATCTCTATGATTCACTTTTCATGAGGTTGGAAATAAGATGACAAACATATACTTAGCTCAGAATTGTATGCTTCATGTATTATATTTGTATATAAAATCCTATATCTGTAATTAAAATTGGCATTATTTCTCTTTCTTGTTAATTGACAGGAAGCAATGAAACATTTCAATATACGAGGAATTAACAACCCACAAATTTACTTGCGTGAAGCCCTGGATTATGAAGCAATTAATTTTATGAGATTTACTTTAAGGGCCATGGTGAGTTTTATTGCAAACAAAATATTTGCATGTTCTATCATTTGCTTAATTTTCCTTTTGTTTTCACAAATGAAGCTGAAACTGCCAATCATGATATCTGCCAGTTCTGAGAAGTTTAGCTAAAGTGTCTTGAAACAGGAAACATTTCCCCTTTGAAAGATGGTTATTGCAGAATTGTGCATCCACACCATGGATCATATGAAGCTCTTCATCATTCAGTGTTGGCTTTTACAAAATAGGGGGTATAAATCATGCCATTTTTTTGATCCTCATCTAGCCTGCTGGCTTTTGCAAATGTACTAAAAGGGATTGGTTTAATACTTCAAGATACTTTTTAGCTGATTTGTTCTCTTTTATTTTTCTGTTGCATAGGATGGAAGTGCTGATGCGGCAGGGACACACACAGCCACAGCTACGATATCCATATGGATTGTCCAGTCTGATCTCAAACCCCCCTGGTTTCAGCCATGTACTGCCATTGGAGGCCACAAAATGTGCATCAGTCTTGGCTACACCAGCAAAGTCAATCTTTCAGAAGAAGTGGTACGTTAACAAGATCTTTAGACTGGTCCCCTACCCAAAGTTGCCTTCTTTAATTTTGCTTTGTTTCTCCTTGGGCTTGTGTTGCTCTTTTCATTTAACTTCCATGGATTCAAGTTATAGCAATACCGTCATGTCTTGGGCACAGGTACTCAGCCTGTTTGGCTGAACCCAGAGTCCAAAGAGGGCAACAACCAGAAAGATATGTACTACCTTTAGTAAGAGAAGTATTTGATGTAGTTAAACTTTGTGAATACAGAATGTTTCCATCATTTATAATTCAATCGTTTGAGACTTGATTACTTTTGTTGTTGTTGTTCACCTTCTCTCCAGATTAGTTCATCAGGAGGCCAAGATGATTTTTTTTTCTTGTTGTGCCCATAACTGCATTGTGATTTGTTGTAGCATTCAAACCAGCAGGTTCAGGTCAGGGCACATTTCTGATGGTGTCCCTTTGACGAGGCAGAAAGCAGGGGTGAATGACTGGAAGGTGGCAGGAGAAAGTTGACATGAAAGAACAGAGGCTGAACATAAGTCTTCAAAGGCTATGTATTCCTAAAGAGTCAAGAAATACAATCACTTTCTCACTGTGAAATTATGTAATTGGGCTGCTTTATGAATCACTCTATGGCAGGGGTGTCAAACTCAAGGCCCAGGGGCCGGATCTAGCTCGCGAGGTACTTCGATCTGGCCCCCAGGGCCACCCTGGAAACAGCAAAGGACCGGCCTGCGGTGCTTCTGCCAGTGAAACTGGGATCCCAAGCTCTGTTTTCAGCTGCCATGGCCTCCTGCAGCCCTCTGCCAGTGAAAATGGAGCTCAGGAGGGCCACACATGCCCCTCCCAAGCTCTATTTTCACTGGCAGAGGGTTGCAGGAGGCCATGGCAGCTCAGAAGTCCATTTTCCCTGGTAGAGTGCTCAGGCCGCCACAGGCACCCCGACACAAGTGACTTCAAGCTGGCCACGCCCACTCTCTCCCCCGAGGTCAAACACAGCCCTGATGTGGCCGTCAGTGCAATCAAGTCTGACACCCCTGCTCTACGGGTTTCAATAGACCTGAGTTTGAGACCAAATCTTTCATGCATCCTTAAATCCCCACCCCACCTGGTCAGTCAGGGAGGGTATCCTGCAGAATTTTAACTGGTGGAGTCCAGGAAGAGAGCTTTCTCTACTACTGCCCCTGCCCTTTGTAACGTTCTCCCTCCAAAGGCAAGGCAGGGCCCCAGTCTCCTGGCCTTTCAGAAAGGCCTGAAGACCTGGCTCTGCTCTCTTGCTTGGGGCTCATAAAGGAACACGCAGCCATGGGGCTGGTTAACCTCCTAAAATCTCTCCCTCTGCCTTTTCATTGACTTTTAATCTTCTTCGCCTCTTTATATACTTGCATCCTGTCTATGAAGAGAAGGGCAAGTACTAAATCTGATAAATAAATTTAAAAAATGAACAAATTACTGGACCTGTCAGGAAATGACTTACGCTTCTTGCCTCTGCAGAAGGGGCCACTGATCTTGGAGCCAGGACCCCTCTACGCTGTTGATGGGGATAAAAGCTTGAATGAAAAAGTAATATATGAAATTGTTGCTGGTGAGTAGATTAAAAAGCCCCCTTTTAATCTAAATTTAAAATTTAAAACTAATTTAAAAATAAGGTAGTGATTTTCTAAACTTGATACTTTCAAGTGTAATCCAGATTTAGGGACAATGAAGAAATTATTGAATAATAGTGCCACATTTCTGCATATATATTCTACATAACTATATGGAGTTTCTCAAGTATAAAAGAGGGAAAGATTTATAATCCAACTTCTTGGAGTCATATCTTGGATAGATATGACTCCAACTTCATGGAGTCATATCTTCATAAAAACTCTTAAATCCTCTCCTCTAAATGCTTCCAAATCAAGCTATTGAACTTTATTAACCAAATGGCTGAATTCCAGTGTGGTTTCAGGATATTTTGGGAAGGATTTGGGCTTTAGAGGTTGAAAATAGACCCCATTCCCACCCTTATTCTTAATTAACTGCCCCCCTAACTTCCAAACTGACAAGTCCATTTTGGCACCCAATTTCAGCAGCACCTTCTCTGCAGATGGAGTGAGGGAGCAACTGTGACCCATGGTTTGCCCTACCCCCATGATGGGGGTCCTATGACACATGTGCCAGAAGTGGCATGCAGAGCCATCTCTCTGGGCACGCCAGCCGTCGCCCGTTGCTCTTCTGGGTTTTGGCATGCGCATGCATGTCGGCCAGCTGGTCTTCGCGCATGGTGGGCCCTTGCTCTTCTGGTTTCCAGCACTCCCACATGCGCACCGGGGAGCTGCTCTTCCAATTTCGGCTGCTCCGCGCCCCATGCAGGCTCCTGTTTTGGCACTCGGTGCCAAAAAGGGTTGCCAACACTGCCTTACTCTGTAATATTCCACATACCACACATATAGTTTGCACAATGTTTTCATCCATGATATATTTAACCTGGTTTGTTGCATAAATTGTACTTTGTTGAGTTCTCACAACATGCTATTAATAACTCCTGTTTTTCAACTACAATGACTAGGGTCACACATATACTAAGACAAATCGAAGACATTACATTATAGCTGGGAGTGTAATGCTGGAAGTGAACCAATGGTGGGATTCAAATTTTTTTACTACCGGTTCTGTGAGTGAGGCTTGGTGGGCATGGCAGGGGAAGGATGCTGTAAAATCTCCAGTCAGAGGTAGTATTTGCTGGTTCTCTGAACTACTCAAAATGTCTGCTACTGGTTCTCCAGAACTGGTCAGAACCTGCTGAATACCACCTCTGAAGTGAACCACATAAATAAATAGCTATAGATAGATGTGTTTCATTCGATTCAAGCATCTTCTACATTACTTCAATCTGTACTTAGAAGCAATTCAGCAAAAAATGTTGGAAATAATATTAATACTTTGAATAATATCTCAAACCTAACAAAACAACAACTAAAGAAAGCATTTATTCAGCTTCTAGAATTTAGGTAGATTTAGGACGTTCTAGATCATTTAAGAATTCTGGTTCCTTTTTTTCTTCAGTTTGAAACTTTGCATTTATTACTGTACAAACAAATAATGCCTAGAGTACTGCATCCAGTTTTGGTCACCAAACTATAAAAATGATGTTGAGACTCTAGAAAAAGTACAGAGAAGAGCAACCAGGATGATTAGAGGACTGGAGACTAAAACTAATGAAGAATGGCTACAGGAATTGGGGTGACTAGTCTAGGGAAGAGAAGGACCAGGGGAGCAATGTTCCATGATAGCAATGTTCCAATATTTGAGGGGCTGCCACAGAGAGGAAGAGGTCAAGCTATTTTCTAAAGCTCCTGTAGGCCAGACAAGGAATAATGGATGGAAACTGAACAAGGAGAGATTTAATCTGGAAATGAAGAGAAACTTTCTGCCAGTGAGAACTATCAACCAGTGGAACAGCTTGCCCTCGGAAGTCGTGGGAGCGTCATCACTTGAGACTTTCAAGAAGAGATTGGATTGCCATTTGTCAGAAATGGTGTAGGGTCTCCCGCTTGGGCAGGGGTTGGACTAGATGACCTACAAGGTCCCTTCCAACTCTGATTATCTGTTATCTGTTACCAGCAGAATGATGTGAATTTTCCCAGGACTTAAACATACAAAGACACAAAATGGCAGGCAGAATCTGTGTAATTATTTTTAGGGTCCATATATAATTGGTGCTTTGATGTAGTGATAAAGGCACCAGGCTAGAATGTGGGAACTGATGAGTTCAAGTCCACCTTAGGCACAGGTGACTATACATCTGCATTTGGGGGAAAGTAACAGTAGATTGACTTGCCCTTAAATGCAGCCATTGATGTTATAGCATCTGAGTCATATCACTTTTTAACAAGGCAGCTCCAATCATTTAGAAAAAGAGAAAAATTTCTGGTCTTATTAAAAATATATCCTTGCATGGTCACATATTTTTCTAAGCCAGGTTCCAGTAGAAGTAAGATGGTCTTTGTGTAGTGGTGGGATTCAAAAATTTTTTACTATTAGTTCTGTGGGCGAGGCTTGGTGGGCATGGCAGGGGAAGGATACTGTAAAATCTCTAGTCAGAGGTGGTTTTTGCCGGTTCTCTGAACTACTCAAAATGTCCACTACCAGTTCTCCAGAACTGGTCAGAACCTACTGAATACCATCTCTGGCTTTGTGCTGGTTAGACAGTATACAGTTAGTTTAGGAATGAGAGCTGCTCCCTTAAAGGAATGCTTCATGGGAAATGTAGTCAATGCCTCTTGGAAGGTGTAGCTCATGTCACGTGGTCACATTCTGTAATCCTGATTGGTCACTGAATTGATCTCTGGTTGGGCTGAGGGAGTTCTTGGGTATTCTTACCTGGACTCCAGCATTGTGCTGGAGTTTTCCTTTGCTATAACACTATGGGATGAAGATAACCATCTTTTCACACTATTGAGGTGACTATTGAGGCAAAGATTGGACGTTAGATGAATCTCAGCATAACTGTGAGTTATACTTTGAGGATACCTGATAAAACCCAATAAATGAACTTTGCGTGGAAGCCTTTGCAGTGTTGGACTGCTTGTCTCATGTTGTCCAGAAGCGTGGGACAAGAAAGTGAAAAGATGACTATATGACCATACCAGGTAAGAATGCCCCAAAGCTCCCTCAACCCAACCAGAGATCAATTCAGGATTACAGATATGACCCCGTGACAAGAACTACATCTCCCAAAAGGCATTAATTACATTTCCCATGAAGCATTCCCTTAAGGAGGCAGCTCTCATTCCCAAACTATATACTGTCTAACTAGCACACTATATCCTATCTAACCAGCACAGGCTTTGAGAAAAAGGAATAAATGAAGGAATAAATAATTGGCCATTCGATAATATTAGGTTCTTTGGGTACCTTACAATAAAGATAAGACTGAAATGCCTACCAAACAGAATATAAAACTCTAACATGAAAAACCCGGATTCTTTGCCTGTCTTGGAACTGCACTGGATTTAATGCTAACAAGCAGGGGTATCTAACATACAATCTCACAATCTTGTGCATGACACAATCAGGAAGCTTCATCCTACTCTTTTCGTAGTAATCATGCATGCCAAGTATTTTCTTTTTCCAATTGTGCTTAGGAAATGATAATGACACATTCAGACTATACAGAGATTCTGGAAACATAACGATGACCCAGCCTGCAAATTCCCTGAAGACATTCATGTTATATATTGTGGTAAGTCTCCTGACAACATTAATATATTATTAATAAAATGTGGCTCTTTAATATTTGTTTGCCAGGAGGACACAATTAGAGAAGTCAAAATTCCCAATATGCTGCGACAGGTTTTGTTGGTTAGGAACAGAGACAGTTAAAATCCAACACATCTAGAGGGCACTTGTTTGGGCAAGGCTAATCTAGGCAGTGAGAAATAGATGTCATATCTATTAACTATATCGAAGATAAATAAAATTAGGAACTTGCTGTTGCCTGAAACTGCTGGGAAGATCTTGTCAGCTCTGAGTTCTTGCCATATCCTGCTATGACACACAATGAAACAAATTAATGATGATCTAGTTAAGGCCAAAACCTACCCAGATATCTCTGATGGTTTTTATAATGGGCTAATTACCAATTAAATATTATTATTCATTGCACAGTCAGCCAGAGGTTCAGACAGGGTTTGGCATTTTTGTCTACCTATTGAGTCCTTACCAAGGACCTGGGATAGGCAAATCTGGATGTTTGATGGTATTACAGATATCGCCGCAGGATGGAATCTGTTCCAAGTAAAGCTGCCTTCTCCAATTGACTGATGGCGAATTTGTCAATGCCTATGGTGTTCAAGTGGTGCTCCAGTTGTTTTGGGTCTGGACCCAAGGCATCTATTACTATTGATACTACCCTTACTTGCCTTTGCCATAGTTCATTCTATTTCTATTTGTAGGTCTTTGTATTTTGTTATCTTCTCCAGTTCTTTCTCTTCTATTCTGCTATCCCCAGGCACCGTCACATCCACTATCCAGATTTTTTGTCATTATGATTATTATGATTACTATTATTATTAGTTATGAGTGTAAGGGATGTGGTGGGTGGGCTTCTCTGGCTCTCTGAATTGGGGATCCCTAAGACCTTCCTCACAGTCCCTGCTGCTGTACCTTCCCACATCCTTGGGAGGATCCTTTTGATAGGTACCTTCACCCATCTTTGTTCCAAAGAACCTCCTCATCTACCTTCCATTAAAATTTTACATTTTAGCCCTTATGAAAATCTGTGCTCTCACTCTCTCTTTCTCCAGGCTTCCCAGGAAAACAATCCATTCAGATACTCTCAGACGACGGTGAAAATTGATGTTGTATGGAAAAATGACAACCAGCCCTATTTTGAGGAAGCCATGTATGTGGGACGAGTGTCTGAGGCCCAGCCTGCAAAGACATTGATCATGAAAGACAACACATCGTCAGAACCCCTGCAGATCTTTGCAGCAGATGACGACTTCTTGCCAGATGTTAGTTATTTCAAGATCTATTGAATATCACAGGGAGCAAAGGCTGTTAAGATAGCAGTTACGAGTTTCCGTCTGAGATTGATGTGAGAAACCTATACCTGGGTAGAGTGTTGTACCTATTTTCAGATCCCTTCCGATGATGCATTTTTATTCCGGTACCTGTCAAATCTTCTTATCTCTGCAGCAGTTTTGTGCTGACTTTTGAATTTGTCACTTAAGAAGATGAAAAAGATAAGAAGGACATCCTGGACAGAAACTTGGGCACAGAAAAAAAATGGCAGCAGTGGTCAGCCTCATTATTTTCTGACTGTTTTTGCTTTATGATGGGTGGGAGAGAAAATTAACCTTGGTAACTGAACAAGGTGAACCCATATGTTGTCCCACTAAATGAACCTCAAGAGAGAGAGTTGGTGAAAAAGCACTAAGGCCCTTTCAAGAAAGAAGGAAGAATTTCTGGAGACAAAGGGTAGAACAAAGCAGACATTCCCACAATGCAAAACTTTAGCAATCTGTCCTCTGGAGGAGGAACTGAGCTAATTGTTAATCAGCTCAGCTTCTCAAGCAAACTTCACTACGTTGGTAGGGTCCCAGGAGCAAGTGTTACTAATCACAGCTACACTGGAAAACCCTTTTGTGAAAGGAGCAACATGATAGCAACCTTCCAATATTCAAGGGGCTGCCACAAAAAAGATGGAGTCAATCTATTCTCCAGAGCAGTGGTTGCCAACCAGTGGGCCAGGGACCACTGATGGTCTGTGAGAAAATTTTGATGGTCTGCAGAGAAATGTCACCCCCAAAGCACCCCCCAAAGCAATTAATCCAGGCTGTGCAGAAAACACAAGGCTGCACCATCCACATGGCCTGCGGGAACACAAGGCTTGTGTCACTTGCATTGCGAACAACCTGAGGTAGTGAGGGGAGTGGGGAAAGGAAGGAGGGGGAGAACTTGCCCCAGTTGCCCCATGTACCTCGCCTGGCCACCGGGCTGCTTCTTTCCATTTATTTCTTCTTCTGCTTTTGGCTGCACTCAAGGAAAGCAGCAAAAGTCTTTCTTTCTCTCCCCCAAACTCCACCAGAAATGAGTCTTTGGAACCTTGCAAGGCATTCTGCTCCAAGAGGCTGCGGCGGCAAAGACTCATTTCTGGCGGAGTTTGGGGGAGAGAAAGAAAGACTTCTGCTGCTTCTGCTGTTTTTCTTGCATGAAGCCAAAAGTCTCTCTCTCTTTCTCTCCCCCTGAGAACGGAGCCGGTGATAGTATCCCAAATAAATAATGATTGGTCAGTAGGAAAATGGGGTGGGGAATATTCCTGCAGACTCTTTTCCTGCAGCCACCATCAGTCAAAATTCATATTAGTGGTCTGCGGGATTTTAAATTATGAGTTTGGCAGTCCCTGAGATCCAAAAGATTGGCAACCCCTGCTCCAGAGCACCTGATGGCAGAAGCAATAGATGGAAACTAATCAAGGAGAGAAGCCACCTAGAACTTAGGAGAAATTTCCTGACAGTTAGAACAATTAATCAGTGGAACAACTTGCCTCCAGAAGTTGTGAATGCTCCAACACTGGAAGTTTTCCAGAAGAGATTAGACAACAATTTCTCTGAAATGGTGTAAGGTTCCCTGTCTGAGCAGTGGATTGGACTAGAAGACCTCCAAGGATCTTTCCAATTCTGTTGTTGTGTTATTCAGTTATCAGATGGTCAAAAAGGTGGCAGTTATCTAAACCAAGCTGGTGAATGCTGCCTGGGGGACTATGAGAATCAACTTCTTTATTTCTGGGGAAACCAGGTTGCAGGAAAGTCAGATAAGTATATCTAGGATATTACTTAGGATGCTCCCTACATAATCAATTCTTAGAAACAGAATTTAGTTAGTGAAGCTATTTGTTTGATTAAGTCCTTATGTCGATTTTTATTCACTGCTTTTAGAAGATCAATCCAGATATCAAATACAGAATACAAAACAGTTCAGATTTCAGAGTTACTGCAGAAGGATTTATCCAAACCACCGAGATTCTGAATGTATCATCTCATATTACCCTTCTGGTCAGTACTTTTTCCTAAAACTATTATACATTTATGTTTAGTCTGAGGCTTCCAGATGACACTGTTGTCTTGAGTTGTTGTCTTTACTCTCTCTCTTTCTCTCATTATCATCTGTCACTTCAAAATAATTGATTTAAAATAGATAAAAGACTATAACTTGACAGAGGAAAATCATTTGACAGCCATTAACACAATGCACTAAACCAAAACCAAATATACCACTTTAAAGTATAGTGCAATTTATATACCAGGTAGTTTTATTTATTTTTCAACAATCTAATGATCTAACATTGTTTAATGTAGATTTTCTGAGTGAAATTAAACATTGACCACATAATGGGTAAATAATATGATTCTATTATATGCAGATATGTGCAAATGTTTGAAATAACAAAGACTCTGCAGAAAACGTTGTCTGACATTCTGTCATTGAGTTTTTTACTTCAATGTTAATCAATAGTTGTTAAAAAGTTTTTGAAAAGGCTGAAATCCCTATATTTTTGATTAAAAGACACACATGGTACAATTCTAAAGAGTTTGGTAAGGATTTAAATGCTGTTAAATAGTTAATTAAAACAAAACAGAGCAAACAAAAAGACTTTTATCAGATGAATTTCTAAGAATAATTAAACTACACTGACAAAAACCACAGTGAAGATTTCCGTTTCTCATTTCATTCTGCAGAATACAATCAAGTTTCATTTTAATTGACTTGGCTTTATAGTAAATAGGAAGGAAATTTGAATCCCCTCTAATTCAATTTGACAATTCAGAAATCCATTTTATTTGACCTGACGCTTTAGTCATATCAATTCAAGTTTTCTGAACTAATTTGAAAGGAGCAGCATTGGTTTGTGTTCAGACTGAGGCTCCAAATTAAAGCTTTGAATTGCTCTAATAAATAGTGCCATTACTGAGTTTAAAAAGTATTGTAAAAATCTGTCATTGTAAAAAAAAACACAGAACTATTATTTTTTCAACCTTTTGTTGAAACACCTCTGATTTTAAATATCTGTCTTCTTCAAAGATTGAATCATGAAATGAACATTGTGGCATTCCCACTACATGCAGTAGAATCTCATCACTGCATAGGTTGTACAAAAATAAAGATAAACGAGAAAAGCAGTGGCCTCCATATTCACAAACATGCTTTCAGCAAGACTCCTTTGTAATGCCCAGATCTACATATAAATGGCGGGGGAGGGGCAGTAGTACTCATGCCATCTCTGCCAAATGTAACTGGATCCAAATTAATATGTTGCCATTTTAATGGGCTGATAGAATTGACACATGGGCGTGCAAGGCTAACACCTTCTTTCTTGTTTGCACAGGCCATTGCTACCGACACCAGTACCTTGGAAGAAGCAAGCACGCTGATCTCAATAGATGTCACACCTTTGGCGAGTATGTTGGGAATGCTCTCTTCATGTCTTATATGATGCAGATGAAATGTAGAGATGTAGGAATCACAGAAATTGCTGAAGCACAATAAAGAAAAGATCCATCCCTCTAACTTCAGCACAGCTATGCCCTATGGTTTATGTGCTATGTCTTCAAGATATCTTCTCTCTGACTACCTGACTACCTACACTTGAGGCAGCTGGAAGTTGCGTCTAATCTGTTCCCATTTCAAAGCGATATTTCCACCACCACCCCGTTCCTAATATAATTTTTGCCATGGATGTGATCTACTATGCTTCATTGAAACAATAATTGGAAACTAATCAAAGACAGAAGCAACCTGGAATTAAGGAGAAACTTCCTAACAGTGAGGACAATTAACCAGTGGAACAGCTGGCCTCCAGAAATCATGGGTGCTCTATCACTGGAGGTTTTTAAGAAGAGTCACTTATCTGAAATAATATAGGTTCTCCTGCTTGAGCAAGGGGCTGGACTAGAAGACCTCCAAGGTCCCTTCCAGCTCTATTTTATTCTATATCAATGCTTGGATATATTGAAGCATTATCACCTCCACATCCCTGTGCATTCCCCAGGGTTAAGAGAAATTATCTTTTTTATAGGAACAGGTCAGGCATGATTACTTCTTTTGTTGTTGTTTGTTTAGTTATTTATTAATAATAAGATACAAAAATACAAAAGAAAACAGTAGGAAAGAAGGAGAGGAAAAAGGGAAGGGAAATGTGTAAGAAAAAGGTGGGGGAAGAAAGAAAAGGCATTGGCTTCTGACTCCTTTTGGTGCAGTAGAATAATAACATCAAACTTCGACTTTTCACTTTTACATAATAGTATAAACTAGCCAGTTCTAATAACAACAGATCTATTTAATTGGTAAAACCCAAAATCAAAGTTTCATTTTTTTCCCCCACTTTGAACACAAAGACCAGAAGCAGGCATAATTATTTATCAAAGATAAACTAATATGGAAATGTGATGGGGGAATAAGAGAGAGACCGGCTTCTAATTTTACCCAATTTATTGGTGGTTTGTAACAGAGCAATCCAGCCCTTACACTAAATCCGCTTCCTCTTTTGTCCTGGAGTGATGTTGTACAACCTGGGATAAAGATTCTGCTGACACAATTCAGTTTGTGTAGGGCCTGTGTAGCTTCTTTCATTGTAAAACTCTTTCAGTGTTATTATTTCTGCATAATGATTGCTGTGCTTGGGTCTTGGTGCAGCCTGAAGGATTTGACTGTGTTAGATAAGATATAGAAGCATCACATTAAGCAGTCCCTTTGTCTATTACATTTACAGCTCCAACTGTTCCACCTGTAACTACCACTGCCTTCACTGAAACCTCTCCTACCAGCCTAGGGGAAGGGAACACTAGTCCCAAGCCACCCACTTTGCCACCTGGAATAAGTAGTCCTAAACCTTCTGGATCCACAAAGACCATGTCACCTTTTTCAAGTACAACTGGGAAGGATAACCTTACAGAGATTACAAGAAACCCTGGGACTGCTTCTGTATCTGGCTCAGTTATTCCACCTTTTGTAACTACACTAAAACCTCCTGTCATCCCAGGCAATTCTACACAGTTTCTGACCACTAGTTCTCCTCTAACAGAGAGAAGCCAACGGACAGTGGAATCCATCACGATCTCCAGCCCCATCACCACTCGAGCAACTCCTCAGACTGGAACCTCTAAGCCAACCCCACCAGGTAATTTTATAACAAGTGGTGGGAGTGTCCAGTCATCAACTTCTTCCAAAATTCCTCAGACCGTAACCTCCAAGCCAACCCCACCAGGTAATTTTATAACAAGTGGTGGGAGTGTCCAGTCATCAACTTCTTCCAAAATTGAAACCATGAAGACTCCCATTACAAGCTCAGTACCAGATGGTGGTAGACAGTCTACTACTCCTTTACCTGGAATCATTAAGCCTTCCACAACAGTTATTTCTACGACAAAAAATAACTATGTTTCTTCTGCTTCATTATCTTCCACAATTGCAACAAGCCCACTTTCTGTAGCAAATACTTCTGCAACAAGCCTGACATCTAAGTCTAGTAGATCAACTTCTAGTACTTCAACTTCAACTTCTATGTTTTCTACAATGCCTATTATTGAAGATACAATAAATCCATCAGCAAATGAATCTCATACCACAGTAGGACCTTCCACGCCTAATTCAGAAGGTAGAGTCAATAACATAGAAGTTTGCATTCAGGAGTCATGGTAAATCATGCATATAGTAATAAGAATACCTTTCACCTTTTCCTCAGTTCATAAGAAGAAAATGTAAGTACTGTATGTCCTAATCTAGGCATATTATATTTAGGCTAAAAATATCCCTACAATCATTAGATGGCAACCATGAGATGTTAGAAAACTGCCTGTGGTCATCTAGTATTAATCTGAATCATTGCAATCTGCATATAATAGTATGCTTGTATAAATTGGGGTTACTGTGATATGATGTTGAATGCATATAATAGTATGCTTGTATAAATTGGGGTTACTGTGGTATGATGTTGAATGCCAACCTAACAGTTTGAAAACATGCAAATGCAAGTAGATAAATAGGTACCACTTCGGTGGGAAGATAACAGCATTCCATGTGATGCGCTTCAGCGTATAGCTATGCTGGCCACATGACCATGGAAATGTCTTTGGACAATGCTGTTTCCCCCAGGTAAGAAATGGAGATGACCACAATTGGACAGGGGAAAACGCTGCCTTTTTAAATGTTGAATGAATCCAACTTCATTGAGTTGTTCGGTGAAGAGGGTTCAACATTTGTTAAAAGCAAAAGTTTCCTCACTCTTTTTTTATAAGCTGCAGCTGCTCTGCAAGAAGAGAGAAAGAGTGTGTAAACCTGAGGAGGGTTCAGGCTTGGTCCCATCATAATATATAACAATAGTTGTCAATAGATAGAAGATGGATGGATGACTGGATGGAAACGGGGAGGGGGGAAGGAAAGAGGGAGGGAGAGGATTCTTTAGTGGTGAGAGTTCATGCTTTCTCGGGAAAGATGATTTCAGCTTAGAAACTATTACTCTTAAGATCATGTTTTTTTGCCATACATCCTTCTGTAAGACCATGCTTTATTTTAGATAAAACATATGTTTAATGTAAATTCCTAAGAAAGGCTTGGCTGTAGAGAGATTTAAAAGCTCGCTGCCTTTCTAAGAAACTGAAAAATGTTCAGACTTGGCAAGCCACAGTTTACTATCAGATCATTCTCCTAATCAATGATGAATCGCAAAGCTTAACAGATTGGATGGTTGGCCAAGGTAATTCCAGCATTACCAGCAGACTAGGTCTTGGTAATCCTGTATAGCAATTTTACACATAGAGGTTCTGAATCGAGAAAGTTCACTGAATTCAGTGGAATATATGGCTCACCATTATTACAGGTGTGCATGCTTTGAAAATTATTCAGAAGAAGTGCTTGAAAACGTGTAGAAATGTTATTGAAATGCTTCTTTAATACAATTCTTTCTGAAAGGAAATGCAGCTGCTTTAGTGACTGTGATGCCATCTACTAAAACCTCTTATCACCACAGACAGTGCTTCTGTTTCTAGTCACTGGTTCTCCTGTAATAGGGATAAGCCAAGAAACAGTGGAATCGTTTGTAAGAACAGATGAAGAAATATGCAGCTGCTTTAGTGGGCTGTATTAAAGATGCAGTTGCTTTAGTGCAGGGGTGTCAAGCTTGCATTGTCACGGCTGCATCATGTGATGTATTGCAACTTTTTTCCCCTTTGCTAGGCCCACGGGCCGCGAGTTTGACAGCCCTGCTTTAGTGAGTCTGCTTCTAAGACTCTCCCTCAAAAGATGAAAATGCTTTAAAGAAGAACTTTCTAACAATTTCTAAAACATTTCTTCTCAATCATTTTGACATATATATATACTCCTAATCATTCCTTCCTGAAATGCCACTCTTTTAATGAAGTTTATTTCTATTACACAGCCTAAGGATGAATATATCCTTATAGCCTATCTTTCCATAAGACTTATAACCAGGGGTGGGATTCAAAATTTTTAACAACTGGTTCTGTGGGCATGGCTTAGGTGGTGGGCGTGGCTTAGTGGTCATGTGACTGGGTGGACATGGCTTGGTGGTCATGTTATTGGCTGGGTGTGGCCAACTCAATATCACTCACTTCGAGGCATGCATTTCCTCCCCTGGCCTCTCATGACTGTGGGGATGCTGCAACAGTTATAAGTGTGAAAAATGGTCATAAGTCACTTTTTTCAGTGCCATTATAACTTTAAATGGTCACTCCACACAAGCAAAGTACCAGCAAAGGAGTGGGAAAAATCTCCAGAGAAGTTCCTGAGACAGGAAGTCTAGTCCTGCCAAGAATGTAATAAGGGTTAACTGAGAGGCAGTTTCTGTAAGCAACACCAGAATGTTTCCTTCCTGCTTTCCTTGCAGGATTAGGCCAGTAATTTCTTCTAGCAACCGGTTCTCCGAACTGCTTAGAATGTTAACAACCGGTTCTAGAGAATAGGTGCAAACTGGTAGAATCCCACCCCTGCTTATAACCTATAAAAGCTAGGGTTTTTATAGACTAAAAGACCTAGCTTTTAATATACAAGCATCCACAAACGAATATATTCAGACAAGTTTACACAAGATTGCAAGCAAGCAATGTTAGCACATTTTCAAATATGCAGAAAGCTAGCATTAGGGAAATCTTAAATGTGAAAAAGGCACAAAATTACTATGAGCATCAAAGCATTAAAATGGTTCTTGGGTAACATCAATGAAAGAATGTGTTCATGCAAAACCTTTGTATCTTTTAAGCTGTTGTAATTATACACAGATAGGTAGTTTTCTATTATACAGCATGGCATTAAAAATATAGGGAAAACAAGGATATTGTCTTAGTAATGCAACTAGTTCAGTGGACAGAATTATTAATGATTGGCACGCTAACAGAACCAGAGTCATGGGGATTATATATAATCTTCAGCTACATCATTTAGGATAACAAGGATTGCAAAGAGAAAAGGAGACGAGGTGCTATCAACCTACCCAGTGGCCTGGTGGGGATAAGAAATGGCACCAAGGCAGATGGCAAGAGAGGAGATTGGTGACAGCCAAAGCAGGCCACAAACCGTATTAGTCTATGGGGAAAAATACAATCCACCCAGCTCTTTCTATATTCTTATGATGATGTTCATTAAGTGATTTACTAAGAGATTTCAGCTACTGTACAGATAGCCCTTGACATAAATGAGTTCATGTAGTGATCATTGGAAGTTACAATGACACTGAAAGAAGAGACTTATGACTGTTTTTCAAACTTATGACCATTGCAGCATCTCCATGGTCACATGATCAAAATTCAGACGCTTGGCAATAGACTCATATTTATGACAGTTGCAATGTCCTGGGGTCATAATGTGATCCCTTTTTGCGACCTTCTGACAAGCAAAGTTCATGGGGAAGAAAGATTCACTTAACAACCGTGTCATGGGGTAAAACTCATTTAACAACTGTCTCGCTTAGCAACAGAAACTTTGGGCTCAGTTGTGGTTGTAAGTCAAGGACAACTTGGGAAAGCAAGCCAATGTAATAATTAGTACAATATATCACATTTTTAATCCAATTGAGAAAATAGCAGAGCTGTTATTTACCACTAATACTTCTGCAGCAGAGAATCGTTTTATGATACGATGGTACTGATGTTATTTCTGGAATGAGTATGAATCTACGAACTAATTATTTCAGCTCATGTTAATGATAAACTCTTAGGAGTAATTGAAACTTGCACTTATTTCAGAATTCACTTTGCAAGGTAATATAGTCGTATTGTTATTAAGACCATAAAACTTTCAGGAAAATTGCTTTATAATTATAGTGTGGAGATGTGAACTGTGATATGGGAAAGTACAAATCTCTCTAGAAAACAGCACTGACCTTTGCTTCCAGCAAGATGAAGACTTGAAGCACAGCCATTTGCTGCCGACACGCCCAGCATTCAGCGTCTTAATTCAGCCTCCCAAAACAGCTTTCTTAAGATGTGTTAATATTTTAGCTTCCAAAATCGCTTCACAGTGTACTAATGGGGAATTATAATGGTTGTGGAAAGCTACCTTAATGCAAAAGCTTTTAGGTTTATTATACGGACAAAATGACCACAGAAGCCAAAATTAAATCTTTATTTGTCTATTTTCTGCAATGTCTTTAACATGGAAAAATTAAGCATACGTATTTTTTCCATATAGTTTTATCTCTCTGCCAGGAAAAATGTCACTCATTTTATTCTTTTAATTTGCCATGCTGAAATTTAAGGGGTAGAGGAAATTCTATCAAACCAAATCATGGCTCCATTGAGATTCACCCTTGACTGATTACAGGTAGTCCTCGAATTACAACCACAATTGAGCCTCAAGTTTTTGTTACTAAGTGAAACATTTGTTCAGTGAATTTTGTCTCATTTTATGACCTTTTGTGCCACAGTTGTTAAGTGAATCGCTGGAGTTGTTAAGTTAGTAACATGGTTATTAAGTGAATCTGGCTTCCCCAATGACTTTGATTATAGGAAGGTCACAAACAGTGATCACATGACCCCTGGAGCCTGCAACTTTCATAAATATGAGTCAGTTGCCAAGCATCTGAATTTTGATCACTTGATTATGGGGATAATGCAATGGTTGTAACTGTGAAAAACAGTTGTAAGTCACTTTTTTCAATGCTGTTGTAATTTTGCATGATGTTTAGATGAACTGTTGTAAGTTGAGAACTACCTGTATGTGCCATCAAATTGGTGTTGACCAGAGGTGGTATTCAGCCAGTTCTGACCAGTCCTGGAGAACCAGTAGCGGAACTTTTGAGTAGTTCAGAGAACCTGCAAATACCACCTCTGACTGGCCCCACCCCCATCTATTCTCTGCCTCCTGAGTCCCCGCTGATTGGCTGGGTCTTCTTTGGTTGCCCTGCACAGGAGAACGGAGCTGGAAAGCAGGTTAGTGGGGTGGGGAGGGAATGGATTTTGCAGCAACCTTCCTCTCGGAATGGGGAGGGAAAGAGGATTTTACAGTATCCTTCCCCTACCACACCCATCAACTCACGTCCACAGAATTGATAGTAAAAACATATGAATTGACCACATAGATTTTCTCCATGACGTTCTGTCCCTAATCTAATCTTCCAATGGTGCAACTACCACCAATGTAACTGGATCCATTTACCTTATTGTTGATCATTCTCTTCTCTTTCCGTCCACCTTTCCTGGTATTATTATTTTCCCCAGAGGACTCAGCCTTCACATAATGTGCCTGAAGTAGGTTAATTTGAGCTGGTCACTTCTGCCTGGGTGAGAACTCTGGGTTGCTTTGTTTGATGATCCATTAGTTTGTTTTCTTGGTTCTCCGTGGCTTTCTCAGGAGGCCTCTGCCACAACGACACTTAAAAGTGTCAATACTTTCCACCCTGCTTCTTCAAAGTCAAAGGATTCCATTTTAGCTGTTGTGAAATAACTGTGGGAGAAAATGCTTCAGGATATAAGGAAGTGTGTTTGTTTTCTTGACAGGACTCTATAGTGTAGAAGACATGGCTGCTCTGGGAGCCACCCTGGGGACCTTATTGGCGATTGCACTAGCTTTGCTTGCATTGATCTCCTGCAAGTATTACAAATTTAAAAAAGAACTTGAAAAAGAGAATTCACAGGTAAGTTGGGCTTCTTCCTCTATTTCAGGAAGTTTTTTAAAAAATAATAATAATAAAAAAGAACAAATCCTGTGGAGTTTATAAGAACGTTTAGGTTGTATCAATTTGCAAAGTTGTAAATTATGGCAAGAAAGGGACCTGGTGGCTCAGTGGCTAAGAAGCTGAACTTGTCAATCAGACAGGTCGGCAGTTCGGCGGTTCAAATCCCTAGCGCTGCGTAATGGAGTGAGCTCCCGTTACTTGTCCCAGCTTCTGCCAACCTAGCAGTTCAAAAGTGTGTAAAAATGCAATTGGAAAAATAGGGGTGGGAAGGTAACAGCATTCCATGAGCCTTCAGTGTTTAGTCACGCCAGCCACATAACCAGGGAGACATCTTCGGACAGCGCTGGGTCTTTGGCTTTGTAACAGAAGTTAGAACTGCCCCCTAGAATCAGGAACGACTAGCACATATGTGCAAGGGGAACCTTTACCTTTACCTTTAATTATAGCAAAACAGCATTGCCAATGAAGAAATTAGCTGGAAACTGCAGATAGTATGATTCCAATAAATCTTGAAAGGGAACGGGACACCGGCAATTCCCTTACCTCAGAAATAACCCAGTTATATAACTATGAAGGGAACAGATCAAATAAAGTAATTTCTAAGGTGATTAGTTGTCTTATGTGATAATCAGTTTCCCTTTACTATTGCAGTATTGCACAGACATTTGTCTCTCTTTTGCAGCTTACAAAAAGCTTTTCTAATGACAACTTCCAGGATGACGAGAACTCTAACTCAGATGGAACCGACAATGAATCACCTGCAAGCCTTATGGCCAAGAGTTATGCAGAGAAGGAACCAGAAAACAAGAAAACACAGTCAACTCATAAAGCAATCCAGGAAGAAATTGATATAAACAGTGAAAAGGAAGTGAGATCCATCCTCACAAAGGACAGGAAAACGGAAGATGACGGCTACAAGGCAGTGTGGTTTAAAGAAGATGTTACAGAAGCTGAGAATGATGATGTGATGATTGAAGAGGACAGTGACCTAGAGCCGAACATGTTTGGGAGTGAGAGTGACACTTCTGCTGAGAACGATGACGACCCTGTTGATACCGATAGTGGCAGAGGGAACAGCGACGTAAATATTAGAGCGAGAAGTGCGCAGGTCTTTGATGGGAATCCTTCTGCCAGCCAATCTCTTGAAGAAGCAGAAGAACAAGACGACGCTTTGTAAACGAAAGTGGCTTTTCAAAGATATTGTAAGAGGATCGGATTTGGAGAAGGATTTGCCAGGGAAGTAGGGTTATATGCCCATTTGCTTAACCGAAGGATTATCACAGGATCCAATCTGGAGCAACCACTGGGACCAGAGGTTTAGTCCAAAAGCTCAGAAACCTGAACCTCTGGTCCCACTGACTGACCCAGTTTGCATCCTGCAACATTATCCTGGAACACATACATTTGCCTTCTTTCAGAGCTTTATTGTAAAGCAAAAGTAACTTAGTATTACTTATGAGTTTGTACCTGATGTTTATTTGCATTAGAACAGCCACTGGGGCACACATAGTCTCCCAGATTGGCCTGGATTCCATCTTCAGTCAGCAACAGGAAGCATGGCCAATGGGATCCAGTCTCAGAAAAATAAAGGATTTGTAAGATTATGATTCTAAGCGTATTCATCTGGGGGGCAAAACCTGTTTAGGATTGAGATTTATTTCTGAACAGATAGAATTGCTGTAAAGTTGCTTTTTAAATTAATGCTGTTCTTTTTTCTTTTTGAATCCGTGCATAATTTGTGTTTGCTATCAAACAATTGCCTGTGAGAAAGTTACACAAAACCTTCCCAACGTTACAAAAAGCCAAAGCCAGATCCTATTAACATACAGTTACACAAAGTTGTTCTCAATTCCAGCATTAAAAAAGCATGGTGAGAAAAATAGCATGTTACCACTTCAATAGGCACATTTTAGGATAATTACTTTTCATGGGTGACATGATGATACGCTGTGATACGCCTATATGTATTAAATCAACGATGTTATTTATTTATTTAGTGCATGGCAACCACCAATAGTTAAATAATGTAAGTAAGAAATATAGCAAAAAATTATGGAAATGTTAAAAAGAAAAATATTTTCCTTAGAGTAGTTCTTCAAGTAACAGTTATTAATAAAAAGAAATGATTTTTTTAAGTGGGTGAATAATCAGTTCTCCATATTTTTTCCCAGCTTATTTAAGAGACATTTGAAAAAGAAAGAAAAATTGGAAATCTGTCAAGTTTGATGCAGCAGCAAGAAAAATATGAGAATACAGTAGACAAAGAAAAATTCTAGCCCTAAATATATGAATAAGGAATATGTTTCAGCAGAAAATTCAAGGATGACAACAAATGTGTTTCAACAAAGGAACTTGAAAAATGACTAATATATTTTCTGGAAGGTGGATCAGAGACATTAGATACAGTGAGACACAATATATTAACATTTAAAAATGTTAATTATTTAGACTTTTTGTGATAATTGCATAGTGCATAGTGAAAATATTAATTTGAAAGCACTTTTAAAGAAATGATGTCTGTTTCAGATCTACAGCAATACATTAAAGCACTTTATAAGATATAAGATATGTACAAAAGATTTTAGATGCTGATTATGACATACAGTTCCTCTACTTGATGTCTTCTAATGCAGCATAAACATCAGTCTAATTCTTGAAGTCTCATTCATTCATTCACACATGCATGCACACATATATACATTTACAGTTTAATCTGCGCCCCTTATTATGACCGTCTTGAAATCTTCATCCCAACCCTGCATTAGCAAACATGGGTGAGATAAATGGGAATATCAGGTGTTCCATTTGTGACAGATGCTATACAGGTGGTCCTCAATTTACAACCACAATTGAGCCCAAGATTTCTGATGTTAAGTGAGATATTTGTTAAGTGAGTTTTGCCCCATTTCATGACCTTTCTTGCCACAATTAAATGAATCACCACAGTTGATTAGTTAGTGACATAATTATTAAATTAATCTGGCTTCCCCATTAATTTTACTTGTCAAAAGTTTACAAAAGGTGATCATATGACCTTGGGACACAGCAATGGTCATAAGTATGAGTCAGTTGCTAAGCATCTGAATGTTGATCACATGATCATGGGGATGCTAAAAAAGTCGTAAGTGTGAAAAATAGTCATAAGTCCCTTTTTTTCTGTGCCTTTATAACTTTGAATGGTCATTAAATGAACTGTTGTAAGTCAAGGACTACCTGTAAAATTTCAGGGGTCAGCAGGATTGGAAACATGCAAATGAAATGGCCTTGATCCAATATATTTTAGGGGCTACAGTGCTCCCTATCAGTATGCCTTTCATCAGATGAAAGTTATTATCCTTGCATTCATTGAAATCCCATGGAATGGTGAGAAAAGTTAAATTAATAGGTGAGACATGCTGAAACAGCATCATAATTTTTAACTTTTAACTTTTATCTGCCTTCATGAAATTCCTGGATAGAACTGTTTATTTGGAATCTGCATATCTGATCTTGTTTCCATGGCACAACTAAGATATAGGTAAGAATCAAACAAATAGATCTTGATGGATGCCCACACAGTGAGGAGAGAATTGCTTTCATTATCTGAAGTGATTGTAGCTGCATGAACCAAAAAATCATCTCACAATCAGATGAAATTTTGGTTTGCATATTGTAGAAGTTACTGCTTGCCCAATTTTACATTTAGGCGTCAACATGTCAGTATTTCCATTTTCTGGAGGTACTATTAATCATGATTTTCTGGAGTTGCTATTACCACTGTTACAAAATATTTCAATGCACCATATCATTCTCAAGCTGTGTAATTCATTGGGATTTTTTTTCCCCATATAACCTTGGCTTCCTTGTGGAGCATTTAGTGATTACAAAAGAGTTTAAGATTGAAACTTTGAATGCTTTACTTGCTCTCTTGTTAATAACCTTCTATTATTCATTCCAAAGTGCCCTGGGCTGTCAGGTAAATGTCATATAAGGGAAGCAATTCCTTAAAGATATTCTTTTCTTAGGAACAGACCGTTGCTCTCATTTACTTTAACCAATGTCGATCAATACCCCAGTTCCAAAGCAAAGACAGAAAGCAAATGAATTGGAAATTGATGAAGCTTGAAATACTACAATGCAACAGAGAATATATTTCTAGTGGGGTCATAAACACAATGGAACAGGTAGTTAGGACAATAGTTCCAATGCTATTGCCTCTGTGAAAACATCAAGAGGTGCACATATTGGATCAAGAATAGTCATTTTAGCACTGTACACTGCCAACAGACCTTAGATGTCAGCAGTGTAAGTGTAATAAATACATAATAATATTAAATTATTCCTATTGAGTTTACTTGACAGTTGACAATTTGACAATTATTGGGAATCTCTACCTAAGGGAATGCTGGTAGTTAATGAATATGCTGTCGCTCCCATCCTGGGGAACATATACTGTATACATTACTGTTTTGAATGCTGTCATAGTCTATAGCTTTCAGTGAAGAGGATTTTATCCTGCCATAAATTGATTTGAGCTGATAATCTCTCTCTCTCTCTCTCTCTCTCTCTCTCTCGTGCGCCCGCGCACACACACACACGCACGCACACACACGCACACGGGGGGGGGGATAATTTAATAATTTGCTCCTAACTTTAAAGTTTGCAAGATACTCATCTTCTTTCTAAAAGGAAATGGGCTCTGTAAAATGTTATGTGCAGCCTGACCCATCAGTGACAGTTAACTTTATATCCAGCATGGTTATAGAAAATGTGAATTTGATTCTGTCAGAGAAACTGAATTCAAAACAGTGAGAAGATGAATCTGAGGAAATTCGGTCGCCTTTTATTTTCATTTTATTTCCAATAGGAAATGATTCTTATTCATTTTAGATCTTAGGTCCATTAAGATGACTTTTTAACATCTCAGCCAACACTTTGGAAGGGTTTTTTTTTCCATTTTTGGATGAAAAGGTTTCATTCGCTTTGTGTATTTGAATGTTTCTTTTTTCTGCCAATAAATAATTTTTTAATCTTATTTTTTAAAAACAACACAAATTAATGGTTCACATATGAGTATTGGGGTTTTAATTTTTTCTTTAATGAAACACGCATTAGGTTCTCAAGTTATATACGATAAACTACAGGATATTTTTCTATATAATTTACAAAGAGCTGAGTTAAAAGCTGCTAACCCAAAGAATGTTTTAATCTTATTCTGTATAAATAATTTTGACACTTAAGGAGAGGAGAGGCACCTGCTGGTTAAAAGAGGGATTTCCTTTTGCTGCCAATATTCATAATCCTACAACTCAAAAGAGCAACGTGGGGAAGGTTGCTTATGCTGCTTTCAGAATTATATTTCTGAAGTACAGAAATAATTTTATATTCAAAACCACTTAATTCTTAATTTTATATTCAAAACCACTAAAAACACTGCATCTTTTACTCTGTTACAGGCTAAGCCAAAGATTCCTCTGTCTGGACTTCTGTTTGAAAATAACAGGATAATTATCTGAGCTCACAAATTAGACATGGGCAGATAAGCACGTTGGTTTCTAGGGTAACAAAGATCAAAAACAGATGCCAAACCAATACCATGAATAAATACAGCCTCGTATGTAATGAAACAGTACTGTATATGATGGCATCAGGAAATTGGGCTGGATAATCAGGCTCTATATCAGGGGTCTTCAAACTTGACAGCTTTAAGACTTGCGGACTTCAACTCCCAGAATTTCTCTTCCAGTCATGTTAGCTCAGGAATTCTGGGAGTTGAAGTCCACAAGTCTTAAACTTGCCAAGTTTGAAGACCCTTGCTCTATATAGAGTTATAGCAGTGATTTTTGTCTAGTGTTAAAATGATTAAGTTAACGCAAAATAACATTTATGCATTACCAGCTGAAGATTTTTATTTGTATCAAACTATATCTCAGCGAGTTGCAGTCAAAGAGAAGTGAAAACAGGAAACAGCCATTCTCAAAGAACAATTTACTGCAGAAGACCATTACAACATATTTTTACTTGAAGTCAAAAGAGTAATCAAACTATGTGTACCATTAACAACTCCCAAAACCAGAAAAAACGAATTACCCATAACAATAAGGAAGCTTCAATCCAAAAAGAGATCACTCTGGCAGAAAAACAAATCTGGTCACGTTGCCAACTTCAAAAGCTGATACAAAAATTTATGCCACCAGATAAAAACTGAATGCACCAATTATAACATTAAACAAGAAGAAAAACTTCTATGCACCAATTCCACCCACGCTTTCTACAATTTTGTAAACAACAAACTAAAAGACTCAAGGTCCATCCCATCCCTGAAAGGACCTAATGGTAAAGACTGTAACAATGACACTATTAAAGCCAACCTCTTTAACACATTCTTTGGCTCAGTATTTGTAAACAGCAATGGATCATGCCCAGTATTTCCTAATTGAACCACAGACAACTACAATGATCTAATACATATCGATTTTACAGAGACAATGTTGAAAAAGCACTATGCAATCTAAAACCATATCTATCTATTGGACCGGACGGAATATGTGCCTACTTCTTTAAAAAGCTATCCACTGCCATAGCAGAACCTTTAAGCATAATCT